CTACCTAGCTGAAAGGAAATGGTGCACCAAAATTAATCGATTCCGATCGTCCTGGCACAGCTAGTTATGGGAATTGTCACAGGGTTCTGTCCTAGGGCCACTGATGTTTTGATTTTCGTCAATGATCTTCCATGCCGTCTAAGCTGTTCGACTCTTCTTAGCGCTGAAAACGTAATGATGTGGAGAGAAATAAAGTGTTCGGAAGACTCAGATAGGCTGCAGGCAGACCTAAAGCTTCTGGAGAACTGGGCGTTGGCCAATGACATGACTTTCAACCTGAAAAGTGCAAAGTAGTAAAATTACGCACCAGTAGGCTGTAGAATGAAAATTACACCCTGCACACTGTTGTAGCGTGACTTAGGTCTAGTTCTAACGGAAAAAATATACGCGAAAATAAATTACTCGGGGGATGAAGCGAGAGCATATGCGGTCATACACTTTACACATAGGTAGTTAGGTTCATTCGCTCCTGAGCTCTTTCTAAATTTATGCAAAACATACATAGGAACACACCTTGAAGTGCATAATATCATCGCGCCCCCACAGCTTGGAAAGAGTGCAGAGGCCGGAGAAAAAAATGAGTGATGGTCTCCGAAACAGACCATGTTATGAACGGTTAAATAAATTAGGTCTTTTCACACTTAGCTACCGTCTGTTTAGGGTGGACTTAATTACCGCCTGGAGGACCCAAATAAGTTTGAAGTGTCAGTGGCCCAGGGGTAGAATGCTCACCAACCACCTACAAGGTTCGGAGTTCGATCCCCAGCAGACGCACCCTTTACCTCGTTAAGCCGGTAACAGGATATGTGAAGAAGATAAGTAGGATATTGAGCTAGCAATCCCGCTCAGTAAAAAGAAACACGACTACTACAGAAACTCCAAAGCTCTACTGGGAACGCAAAGGAATGAAATTAATTGATAAATAAGTAAACTAGTCATCCAAATAAAGTTTTTCTGCCACTAAATATATATGGGCTAGTTCATGAGAGTTCACAAGGGATAGCTCACATAAGGATGAAGAAGTGAGTGTGCTCCAATTTCTTTTCTCTGTGAGTTTGCCATCCCTGGAACACTCTTCCGGTAGATGTGGCTGCTGCCCTACCTGTGGACAGCTTTAAGCGAAGGCTGGACAATCATACAGCGACACAAAGACTACGTACAAACGGCCCACCCTCTTAAAACTCACACATTATTAATGAGTATACACCTAATCTCGTGTTTTACTTATTCACACTCTTGGTTTTCGCACCCTCTTGACCACTTCAGCTATTACGTCCTTTATTATTATTGATATATATATATATAACTGTTTCGAATTTCATTAGATATTTTTTCACCTTTTCTACATAGCCTAAACTAATTATATCTGTTATTATTATTGTTCTATTTCTTCAGCCACACCGGATGACTAACAGGTGAAAGGGTCAACTATATTCACAGTAGGAACACGGCCTTAACACACCACAAATAACTAATCCCAGCACCACTCTTTTTAGGGTCAACAAAAGCTACAACATTCGAGTGGCGGGACAAACTATGCAGGAGTTTACCGAAGATGAAGAACTTTTACCTCACAATCAGGAAGCAAGCACAAAGAAATCAAATTAGTTTACACAAGCTAGTAAAGACGACATTGGAGTCACCTTTTTACGAAGTTCCAAGTTAATGACCTTTTATAATTCAATTAAAATGTGCAAACCACAAGACCGTGTGAAGTGCCTGAAGTGTTAATTTACAATATGCGAGCATAGTGGATTTAATGTGCATTATTGGACATTAATAGATAATTCAGTTTCTCGAAAACCTGTTGACGTTTAGTTTTACAGGACCTTACTAAGTAACGACATTAAGTACTGAGGGGACTCCCCACCAGCCTACCCTATTTCCAACCGATCGACACACTAATTCCTCCTTTGAATAGTTAGACAGACTATATTTAAAGTCCTCTATATGGAACAAAGTTAAAACATTCGCTACTCTTCCTAATAGCCCCAACTTTTATTTTCGTCATTTCCGTTCACAAAAGTCCTAGCTTAACAGTTGGAAACAAACAGCTCTTGATGTCTTACAGACTGCTGTTTTATATGAAGAGTGGAAAACCTCTGATGGTACTGACGGGAACCAAAGAAGATGTTGCACGGCTTTACAAGGGTAAGTGGTTTTGGACGCTTCAGCAATATACATTGGGCAACACAACCTTGGTAATTTTGGTTTCCATCAAATGGAGTCGCAGTGAGATTTACACTGTGTGATCAGGAGTAATCTAATCACCTCTTACTTCTGAGATAGAAATCAATTTTACAAGACAAAGGTAGAATTAACGGCAACTCCTTTAGGAAGACACTGCCTAGGCATTGAAACAAAAGAAGTGATCTAAGGTGTTGAGTTGAATGAAATATTTGAAATTTCTGTTACGAATCTCAAAACGATTAAATGGACAGACGTTTGCTCCTAGTTTGGAGCCACTTAGTGGGGAAAGAGCAGAGGACTTTCGTTTAAATAACCAGTCAGTTAGTTGTATGACAGTAATGTATAATCACAGCCCAAATATTCACAAAAAAAACATACGAGGAAGATGAACTTGAATTCATGAAAATGTCGATTCTTCAAAATTATTAGCCTATAGCATGCATCACTCAGTGAAGGATGCTGACCTTCATTGTTTAAATCGACTCTTTGAGTTTAAGTTTCGTTGTCAACTATTCAAATCAACTGACACGCTGTCATGTTACATTTAGTCGTCCGTGTATGAACTTCGAGTCAGCTAAGCAATCGTTATCACACTACGATTCTGATTCCGAAAAACATTTCGTATTTAAGACGATCGATTCAGTGTTTTAATTTGTTTTTGGTTTAAGCAGAGAAGGTACATTATAAGTTGCAAGATTAGAACTTACGTTGGCATACATAGTACTTTGAGTAAGCGTTAACATCACTTCTTCTCTCCAACGAAAAAAATTCATTCACAGTGATGTACAGATTCATCACGTATACATAATAATGTACATGACAGCTTCAAACGCGACATACCAGTTCAACTATTGCTATTTATGAGTAGTATTATTAAATTATGAGAAAAATTTATATTTCCAGGATTTTCAAGGGTTGCTGTGTATGAATATTATTGGTTTCAAATTCAATCACGGAGTGATACCGGTTAAAGAACAACCAAGAACAAGAAGGGAGTACTGGACAGCTGGGAAAATACTGCTCTTAATACATTTAATCCCACTACAAAACTATGGTGGAGATTTGTAGATGACACTTTCACAGTGTTACAAGCAGAACATATCTCTAGCTTCTTCACATACACACACATATATAAACTCACTAGTAGAGGGAATAAAATTCACATTTGAATCGGAAAATGAAAAAGGAAGATTAGCTATGATATTAGGCTGTGAAATAAAACGAATAGAAGAAGGTAAACTACACACTAGCGTTAATACAAAACCAACGCATTCTGCTAATAGACATTTAGGCTTTAATTCATCTCATCCGTTAACTGTTAAGGCAGGAGGCTTAGTTAAGTGTCTAACAAACCGAGCAGTGGCACTAAGTAGCACATGAAAAGACCTAAATGGTGAAATAAAACAGACAGAAGAAGAAGCGTCAGTGTTAAATAACTAACTATCCAATAAGATTGATTAGGAAGATCAGAAAAGTCCAAAAGCAAAATGAAAATGATGGGGGAACTAATAATGATAACACAATTAAGAGAGAATACAAGGCATCCACTGTTATACCATATAAGAAGGGGACATCTGAGACCCTACGTAGGATTCTGAATAAAGCAGGAATTAGAGTGGCATCCAAACCTACAAACGCACTCAGGGATAAGCTCTGTAGGTTGAAGGACCCTGTCGACCCAATTAGACAAAATAATATAATTTAAAAAGTACCTTGCAGTGACTGTGAGTTAAATCAACTTCATAGGCCGGTCAAACTAGTAGATCGGGGGTAATCAGATTGGCGGAACATAAAAATTTAGTGGCTAAGGTAAGAATGGTTGACCATAAGAAGACAGATGAGTAATTTAGAAAAAAGCTCAGCAGTTGCACTACAGGCATTAATACACACAGTCACACAATAGGTTGGGTGGGAGAGGGTTAGGATTTTAAGAAGTAATCTATGTAGGTGGAGAGAGAGGTTGATTACTAGATCCTGTCTGATTTATCGGGTCTACACCCATCACATGCAATAGGAATTACTCAATGCAAATACCAGAGATATGGATTATATTACTACCGCAAGTGAAATCAGAAGAGGATAATAAATAATCTGAAATTGTATTCTATTTCCATTCAAACACATCATAACATTCTAACAAGTTACTTATTTTGACTATAGAAAAGCACTCGTCTTATTTCCCATCTGACTGTAATTGATCAGTAACACTCGTATTATTATTATTATTTCTGAATGTACATTATCCTATATTGAATTTTATTTCAATATCTAATCGATTCTACATATGTATATAAATGAAAGAAAAAAGTTGTGTGAGTAATGTCATGATATGATTTTGAGGGGCAATAATTTGTGCTCGAAACGTGGTCGCATCAGTTAATATTATTGTATAACACGACTGTGTGATTTATCAAAATAAAATCTTATCTATAATGAATTTTTTACTCTACAACAGTGCCCAAGTTTTATACTTATATCAATTGTTTCGTCCTAGTTTAGGAGTTATCGGTAGCACGCACCCACATCTCGGGGTTCGAACCCAGGACTTTCCAATTTCAAGAAAAGCTTACCGACGATAGTGTCTGGTGGACGCACTAAAATCACAAATTAGTAGAAGTTAGACTTCATAGGCTGACACCACACTGAGTCAATGGATGAGTACTGGTAACGAGTTGCAAACTAGTGGGACGAAACAGCTGTCGAATTCTCACAGCTGGCTTCTCATGGTTCTCTTAATGATGATATCAATCCGTGGTTAAACTTGGAACATCAAGTGCCATTACGAGACAAATCAAAAAGTAGAAATCTTGATTCAGTATTTTTTATTATCGAGATGTCAGAAAGCGAAAAATAAAACAAAAATCAAAAGTAATATAATAAATAGCATCTACAAATATAAAATCGAGACGGTGTGTGTGTGTGTGTGTTTCTTTTACTCATGAAAGAAAAATATTCAAAAGTTATTTGTGTTGTAAACAACAATAATAATGATAATAATCAATCAATCAATCAACACAACTGGCGGCAAATAGACATTTGAAACGGTTATCCACTGAGATGAATAACTTATTGATTGATTGATTCGTTCATTCATTCATTGATTGATTTGATCACTAGTCACACATATTCATTGCTTTTTAACTATTTTCGGTGCACTGTATATATCTAAGCGTCTTTGTCTCCCGATGGGTATACTTTCACGAACACGTTTCAATTCACTGAAATCTAAGTTAGCTGTGACAATCGCCTCCTGAAGAAAAAAGAAATTTAATTATTATTATTAGTAGTAGTACAAAGAATTATTCAAAAACACATTATTTTTTATTATTATCTGCTTGTGTGTCGAGTGAAATATAGGGCGGCTACAACAGCACATCTCAACTTCATGCTGCTTTTACTGCAGTCATTTTCATCTGATTAACAACAGTGGTGGAGGAACCCAGAAGGAAATCTCACTACACGGATACAGAGGGCTTGTTTCGCATAGGCCAGTTTACGCCACTGTCTCTGGCTTTGTAGACGTGATATCCGGCTGCCTAGCTGTCGACTAAAGGTCGTCGTATGTACTGCTCATTAGTCTGCTCTATCCTTCTCTATGACTGTGAGACCTGGTTATTTAGAGTGGAAGACATGAAAAGACCGGCTAGCTGTCTTCGATCATAGGTGCCTGCATTCCATCTTCCGTGTGAACAGGGTAGTATAATAAAGTGAGCAATATTGAGGTTAGGCATCGGTCGAGTGCTAGGTAGGTGGGAGGGGAAATCAATCGACGAGGCTGTGAAATTACATCGACTGAGATGGTTAGGACATGTGTTACACATGCCCGTCTAGTCGTCGTCTTCCTCGACAATGGGCAGTGTTAGCTGACATAGGGTCAGTCTGGAAAAGAGCTAGCCAGCGGCGGTCAAACCAAAACATGGCTTCATCAGTCAATGAAATCCACAACAGTTAGTTTAAGCCATGTAGGAAGGTGTAGACTTCTTGACTGGTTGGGGTCCTCGAGATGGTAAAAACCAATGGTTGGAAACAATTGGTGATATGGCTCAAACTCATCGTTCTCAATGGTGCAGATGATTTCCAATGAGACTACATCGTTCTTCGTTATTACTATTCTTTTGTCTTACACCTCTGTTTACTGTCTCTACCATGCATTTCTTCTTACTTTCTTCTCTTGCTCTGTGTGCTACATGGAGTAAGGCGACTTGAACTGGTGCACATCGGTGCATAGTTTTATGTAGAAAACACACAAACAATCCAGAACGCGCATTCCGTCCTAATTGAGACACCACCACCTGTCAACTGCATTTGTCTGCATTCTCCAGTGAGTGAGTGAGTAATGGTGTTCTCACTGGGACTCGAACCCTGTACCAAATGCCTCAAACGCCTCTTGACCAGTCTTTTTTTACTGGCTTAGAAAGGCAAAGGAGTGAGTCTGTGGTCGAGGATCTAACCCGAACCACCTGTGGCATGGTCGGCAAGCATTCCTACCGCTTTGCCACCGACGGCATACTTTATCAACAATAATAATTGTTCAAAAAGAAAAGGACTCATTCTTCATAAATACACACAAACAAATAATAATACTAATAATCACCGTAAATACTCTATAGGAAAAACTTACCTCTTTGCCAGCTTTAGCTATAACCATACCCCATGGTGAAGTGATCAACGATTCAGCATGACTAATATAATCCAATTCTAAATTACACGCTGGACTACACAAGCCAATATAAGACTGTGTATCTAGCGCTCGAGCACGACCTAACAATTCCCAATGCATAGGTCCTATAAACAAAGGAAAAACAAATAAAACAATAAAAATCGAACCATTATAAATTATTATTATGTCCTTTAATTCCTAGATGAAAATAGGGATTCAGCCACACGTCTCCATTGCGTTCGGTTCTCTGCCAACGTTTTCACATGGCTCCACATCTGCCCACATGCTTTTCATCTTCTCTTCACATGACCTCCTCCAAGTCACTCTTGAACGACCGACTCACCGCTTCCCGTTCATGTTTCACTCGAGGGCTTGTCTAGTGATGTCACTTGATGGTTTCCTCAGAGTATGATCAATCCATCCCCATTTCTTCCTGCCTATTTAGTTCACGATCGGTTCCTGGTTGGTTCGCTCCGAGAGATACCTATTGCTCATCTTTTCTGGACATCTAACCTTAAGTAGTATTGAGCGAAGACAGCTATCTGTTGATGAAGGTCTGTGGTTGGTTCGATGTGCGCTTCGTGACGCGGCGCGGCGCCAAGTCTCTGATCCGTATAGTAGCACTGACTTCACATTGGAGTTGAAAATCCGGATCTTATTTTCATTTTCATGCTGAGTGCTGTTGACCTCCACACAGACTTGAGAGTAATGAAGGCTTGTCTTGCTTTTCCGATTCTTGCTTTGATATCCTCGTCAGTTCCGTCCACTTGTAGTTGAAACGATTCTTCCCAGGTAGGTATGTAAAGGAGGTTGTTTCTTTCAGGTTCCTCCCATTTGTGCTGATTGTTGTCTGTCGTTGTTGCTGTTGGTGTTGGCCAGGTATCTTCATCATCTACCTTTGTCTTCTCTACATTCACCCGTAGGAAAGCCAATCTTTGATATTTCTTCTATGTCCAACTTGTTGTTTTCACTTGCATATCTTCCAGTTTGTGAGAAATCAGGCATATATCATCGGCGAAATCTAGATCCTCCAAGCATTTTGTATGAGTACATTATATACCAGTCTCCTCTTTGACCACCGTCTGTCACATAATCCAGTCTAGAGTTCTCAATCAGGTAAATCATTGGAGGTAGAAGACAGCCAGCCAGTTTGCCTTACCGCCGTCTTCACTTCGAAGGATTCCGTAAGTTTCCCGTTGTGAATTACTTGGAATGCAGCATTGTCGTATAACTGTTGGATGAGATGTATAATTGTCGATGGGACCCCGCAGTAGCGAAGTAGTTGCCAAATCACCTCTCGATCGACGCTGCGCTGTCGAAGGCCTTTTCAAAGTCAATGAAGTTGAGTGAGATAGAGAGGTGACTGGTATTCCAAGCCTTGTTCAGTGATGATCCATAGTGTAGCGATTTGATCAATACATGACTTGTTTCTCCTGAATCCAGCCTGTTCCGGTCGAAGTTTTTCATCCAGGTTGGCGTGTTTGATTCTCTCAAGAATGTTGCGGCATAGTATTTTGCTTGAGATGGACGGGAACATAATTTCGCGCCAGTTCTTGCATTGACTGGTGCTTATTTCAAACAGTACAGGGTGAAAATAAGAACTTTGGACCCCATTTAACAGGCCCGATCACATCAATAGACCTAGGAACGCTTAGTAGTCAGAGCAAGGCAGTGAAATCTGGTAAAGAACGCCATATTTATGAGGGGGAAAAACTGTTGAAGGAAGTGTAATGACTAAGTTAAACAGGATATTATAGGTTAGGTTATTATTACATTATATTATTATAATATAAGGAAAGGTTTATTTTGGGCTAGGAACACACTACAGTTAGATTGTGTTTGGAAAGTCGCATCAGCCCAGTGCCAACGGATTCATCACCGACAGAATCTCAGCACAGATACAGAAGACTCGTTTAGCATATTCCAATTTACTCCATCTCTGACGTAGATGTGATATTTGATTGGCTATCGATCTAAAGACGTGTATACTGCTCAGCAGTTCGCTTCGTCCTCATTTATGGCTGGCTGTAAGACATGGCCATTGTGAGTGGAAGACACACTCCATCTCCCGTGTGAAGTGGTATAACAAGTCTAATAATACTGAGGTTAAGCAACTGTTCAGTGAGTGCTAGGTAGATCAGAGGGGAAATCAATAGATAAGGTTGTGAAGTTACATTGATTGAAAGAGATGGTTAGGACATGTGTTGCGTATGTCTGTCTAGCCATCGCTTTCGTCGACAACGTAACGGGTAATGTTAACTGACTCATATAGGATGGATCAGGTCGGACACTAGTGAGTAACTACTAGTGTGAAGTGTCTAGTCCTTTCTTTGGGGGCAGACTAATATCTATGACATTCAAGTTTTGGTTTGGTCCCTTACAAATTAATGCTTGAATATCAATGAGATGCTCACTGGCGACCGGCCCTATTCAGGCAAGTAGTTACCTGGGGTTCCAGTGAGAAGTCGTGGCCAGTGGGGTGCAGCAGCAGGTCGGGTGTGAGGACAAATACTCGCCGAAGACATTGGCTAGCGGTTGCGCTATATCGTGAATTGGCAGAAGTTAGAATTCATGGGATGGCCATTGGATCGGGTCCCAATGGCTTAATGGTCTACAAGCTAGCTCGCCTTGTAACCAGAAGGTCCTGGGTTCGAACCCTGCGGTGCGGGTGCGTAGTGCTGAAGAGTCCCAAACTAGGACGAAACATCTGTTCAGTACTCCAGTGCTGCTTTTCCAATGGTCCTCTAACCAATGCCAGCTTATGATGAACTCCTGTAACTAATATCTATGAGTCAGATTTGCAATGTGGCTACCACATTCTAGATAGCTGGTGCTATCACAGTGCACTTTGGTTTGATGATATTCGATGGTCGGAGGCAATAGGCAGGCAGGAAGCCTTGCCTCACCTAGGTTTCGATTGCCTCCATCTATCTAATACCAACAATTCACAGGACATCATGATGGCAATTCACCTAGTGGCATGGTAGATAGATAGATAGATAGATATTAGTCAGCACCAAACAAATGACAACTAGACACACATTACACTAGTTACTGATTAGCATCCAATCAAAGTACAACCGTCTTCTATAAAAAAACCAAAAAAAAAATATTTTTATCAAAATCAACAACTTACCAGTTTTAGGAGTGAATGCAGCTGGAAACAATATTAATTGACAGCCCAACTGATTAGCATAGACAAGTGATAATTCAGGAAAACGTATATCATAACAAATAGCCAATCCAACTCTTATCACCGACGTCTTATTCTCTGCACTGTCAAGAGGCATTTCAAAATAGAATAAATCTTTTCCAGAACTAAGGGATGCAGATTCTTTAAATGTGAATTGACCTAGACCACCCACCGTCCAACAACACAAAATGACATAAAACAAAGTATCTGATTTAATCATAGTAAATAAAAAATAGAACTTAGGCATAGTGGGTAAAGTTAAACTTTAAGCACCACTTAAATATACCACCAATCAGCGAATGACCTTGAACGCACCAATCACATGAAGGCGGTATTTTTGGTTATGGAAAACATATATATACATATATATATATATATATATATATATATATGTATTTGTGAAAAAATGCATTTAAAATGTATAAAAATGTTACACCACATTCTGTAAGTATATTCATTCATCTACATGACTATAAATGACATCCTTTTGAGATCGATTAATATCCCTAATCCTGCATTTTTAATTTTCTCCAAAAGTCTTCTATAGAAATGATGTGTGTCCCTATACCGGGATTCACAATATCATTAGAATCGTTCACTATATTGGTGAATATGTCCAAGGGATGACAGAGAAGGTGTCTTCCTACACTCATCCAAGTGTAGGAAGATACCTTCTCCTAATAACGAAGTAATTACCTCCATTTTTCCATGACGCGATATTTCTGTAGTGCTGATACCATTGAAATGTTGACAACTAGATGTTGATGAAGGTCTGCAGTCCGCTTGAGGTGCTCTTCATGATCCGCCAAGTCTCTGATCCATATAGTAGCACTGACTTCACATTGAAGTTGAATATCCGGATCTTATTTTTCATGGTCCATTACAGAAAGTTACACAATTGATGTATGTATTGAACTGATCCACAAATGGACAAGTTACCGTAGCGATTGGGTAGAGTCTCTAGTGCGACACGCCCAACCTTCCCTGTACTTCCTGGCTTAGGGACAGCTTACTGGACTAGGGAACAACGAAGTGTGGTGCCACTTAGAGGGTGACATGCAGGAGATTATGTAAGAATGAGGAGACAAGAGCTTATGGGCGAATGTGGAGCAGGCTACAGAGGACTGCGGCGAAAACAGAATGAAGTGGAAATGTCCTGTTGGAATCATAGGTCCCACTTAGAACCTAAGGAAATTATAATGATACAAACGGACAAATCTAAACAGAAGTATACTTGTCAACTACCACAGCTTTTGGAAAGAAACCTCACACACACAAGAGGTTAAAGTTCAAGTCAAAGAAACAATCAGTCGCCCTACCATATATAAAGGATATCTCAGAAATCACTGCAAGACTCTTCAAACCTTTAGGAATTGGCGTCGAACACAAACAAACAAAATCACTTCACTCAGTTCTGTGTCAACCAAAAGACTCAACAGCGAAAGAAGATAAAACCAACATCATCTACAAAATAAATTGAAACCACTTCGAAAAACACTACACATTGGCCATAATGGACGTCCCCTTTCGTCTTCATATACAAGATCATAAGCTAGCCGTAAAAGGACATGACATCCACTCCCTCATATCGCTCGCTGCATACAGACAACCACGGACATCAATTCGACTGGGACAACCAGCGTTCAAATATTAGACAGAGGAAACAACAAGAATGCTAGAGAATTTTAGAAGCCTGGTATTCCAGTGAATCATTAATCAATAGACACATCGAAATAGACAAAATTTATCAATTGATAAGAAAGAAATCTCACACACAAAAGGGTCAAAGTTCAAGTCAAGGAAACAAAAAGTTCCAATTCAAGTAACCTAGAAGGTGTGAAAACACACAAAAACAACCAATCACATCCAAGGTCACCCGCCAGGAGAGATGATTAATAAACTCGTGGAGAAATCTAAAAGCTCCCTTCAACAAATTGAAGTATGTGCTGAAAATGTCGCTTAGTAGGGCGATGAAAGCTTCACAAATTAACTATCCAGCTCAGACAACACAACCACATCAAAACCACAGCTTTTCTTTGAAGTAATTAACTGATGGCGATGATAATAAAGACCAGTAGATAAGTAGAGAAGAAGAAAAGTACCTGCTGTGGACAATGAAAATGTGGTGAGATTAGATGTACCACCAGAAACACGACAAGTCCTTCTTGATGCATTATTACCTCCTGAATCTCACATATAAGTTGTTTACTTACTGACCATATCAACACCAGCTCTAGGATGATCTTAGTTGAGGGAGAAACAAGAGTTAATGTAAGAATACAATCTAGCCACTGTGGTAGAATATAATTCTATGTTAGATGAGCTAGTAAGTGTTAATATGTGCCATGATGTTTTGAGCACAATTTATTGTCGCTTATAATCATACCAATGTGTATTCAGATGACTTGATAATTTGCTCTATATGTTTTTCCTCTCCTCTTCTTATTTACTGCAAGTTGCCAATATCTCTAGTACAGATGTTGCATCATTCTGTTGGCACGTGTGCTGTGTTGATTCAATAGAATAAAGATTCAGTGATTAACCTTCCCCCCTTCTCTCTCTATCCCTCCATCTAACTATATTTCTTTCTAATACTTTCACTCTATTGTGTAATTACACGCGAGTGAATACCTTTCGGGGGTCGAGATTTTTTTTCAAGATTATTTAACTTAGCAGAGTCAATCATTCTAACTCTAACTGAATTACTACGCTTTCATAGTTTAACTGATCCCGATCTACTAGTCTGTACTATGTAATTGATCCCACTTACAGTCATTACATGGTATTGGTGCGTGCTGCTGAAGAGTCCCAAACTAGGACGAAACAGCCCTCCAGTACTCCCAGGTTTTCCAATGGTTCTCTAACTGATATCAGCTCATGATGAAATCTTCCATGCAATCAAACACAAAATCCCTAAAAAAACTAATACTTAAAAACTAAATTGTTACTTTTTCTTAATTTGATTTAACGGGTCCGTAAGTTGACAAAGTTTATTATGGGTAAAATTTATTTTGTTAAAGTCTGACAGTGTAGTTATACAGTAATATTTACTGATGACCACTTTTCGAGCACAATTTATTACCACAGCTCATAATCCTATGAAGGCACTAATCACACAACTTTTTAACTTCGTTTATATAATTCCGTCACTATATTTCATTGCTTGACTTGATTGGTATTAGAATCTTCCGTATTTTCTGTATGAGAGATGACTTATTCTTATTGCACGTGTTGGGTGTAGACTCGATGAATAGACCACCTACAGTTCTACCAAATAAGGAGGCGACATCTGAGACCCTAAGTAGGATTCTCAATAAAGCAGGAATTAGGGTGGGATTCAAACCTACAAACTCACTCAGCAAGAACAAGCTCTGTAGGCTAAACGACCCTGTCGGTTGACCCAATTAGACAAAATAATATAATTTACAAAGTACCCTGCAATGACTGTGAGTCAGGTCAACTACATAGGTCAAACTAGTAGATCAGGATTGGTGAGATTGCCTGTCAGAACATAAGAATTTAACTAAGGTTAGAATGATTGATTCCACCCGCGAACATGAGTAATTTAGAAAAAACTCAGCAACCGCACTGCATGCATTAACATACAACCATACAATAGGGTGGAAGAGGTTGAAAATTCTAAAAAGTAATGTAGGCGGGTGGCATAGCGGTTAGCATGCTCGTCGACCATGCACATGGTCCGGGGTTCGATCTCCGCCCGACGCACTCCTTTACCTCACTTATCCAGTAATTAGATTGGTAAAGAGGGATGGTTGGGCGTGGGGCTAGCAACCCCATCCTGTAAAAATAAAAACTGTTACAGAAACTTCAAGCCTCCAGCTGAAGCCCCATGTTCCACTGGTAACGTGAAGGAAATAAAAAAAATGTAGGCGGGTGGAGCGCGAGAGAGGTTGATTACTGAATCCTGGATCATAGGATCTACACCCAACACATGCAATAGAATGCAATGACTCATCACTCATACCAGAAATATGGAAAATATTACTGCGGTGAGAGCTGGCTGCTAGCCGAATTGGTAGACAGTAATTTACGTCAATGCTTACGTCCCCAATATTGGTCGTGAGAAAAATGAGAACAAAGACTGATTCAACCACACCAGACTTTGAGCAGGCGGATACAGTTATCATATAGATGATCTGACATTCAAGAAACGGCCTCTAAGAGATGCAAGGTTAACTTTCAGTGGGAAACAACCAATCAGAAGACTGTGTTTTTCCGCAAACAATAATCTATAATAATGTACATGAAAGTCTGTAGATATGAGTTGATTTCCTAAATAAAGGATCTGTTGACTGGCCCTAGTCTCCTGTTGTTACACTACTACCAATCAAGTCAAGCGATGGAAAATAGTGATGGAATTATATAAACGAAGTTTGAAAGTTGTGTGAGCAGTGCCTTGATATGCTTATTACTGGCAATAAATTGTCCTCGAAACGTTGTCATCAGTAAATATTACTGTATAAACACACTGTGGGACTTTATCAAAATAAATTTTACCCATAATGCAACTATACTCTACCACAATGAACAAGTTTTGATTCTTATATCAATGACAAAGTTTATCTATGAGACAGTTGGTTGATTCAAATGCCACCACAAATTCCAGCCTTATTGAGAAACCTACATAGGCTTATAATGTTCCTTCTGTATGTGATAATAGGACTTGGAATTTCTCCCAGTTCCAGGATAGGCAATAGTCAGAAATGTTATGTTTACAGTGTTCATGGAATAACACTGGAGGTACAGTCGATTCGACTGTGAATTGTAGAAGTTAGACTAAATATAGAGAAGAACGTGTCGATTGATTCCCTGAGTTCACAATGACGACTAAAATGACCTAACTATATTGATGATAATGAATAACAGAGTCACTCGTTGACCAAGTATATCGATTGATATAAAATAGATTTGATATATGTGTAATAGTAATGCAACAGTCTATAATCAACAGTCAAAAAATCAATAACTGTTACTGTTGAACGTGAACTCATAAACTCATGAACAAACTTTTCAACTTATCGACAGAATAAACCACTGATTCACTGACTGACTGAGTTTTAACACATAAAACTTTGAATAGAAAAGCACCACTTCAGGGAATCACACACCATGTAGCACGAAAACGAAGGATTCCAAAGAACTATTTATTTTTTTTGTTCATTCCTTCACGTTCCCAGTGGAACATAGCGAGGACTTCGAGCTAGAGACTTGAAGTTTTAGTAAGCTGTGGAGTTTATTTTTACGGAATGTGGTTGCTAGCCGTCTTTACTGGCTTGGTGAGGGTAAAGGAGTCCGTCAATCAGGTGGAGATCGAATCCTGGACTACATGTGTGGTCGGCGAGCATTTAACCGCAGTGCCACTAACAAACGCAAAAGACTATAGTGAGCAGAAATGTACGGGAGAAAGAATATTACAAGATGTAAAAAACAACATGAGGATATAATGAGCCTAGCCAACGGTTCTTAGAATCTCGAAGTCCCGAACTAGGCAGTCTACACCTCCCTATGTGGCTTTAGCCGACTGTCAAAGGCTTGGTGGATTAATTCCATGCTTTGGTTTGATCACCCCAGACTGTTTTTTTTTCAACCTAATCTTATGTCAGCTAACACTGATTGTCTAGGAAGGCAATATCTCAGCATACGCAAACAACAGTGTCCTGGTTACCTCAATAAACAAACTAATAGATTTTCATACAGTGAGTGATTCCCTTCAATAAATTTGAACAAAGAAAGAAGAAACATTGGCGCAGAATAATCTGGATCCATTTTATTTCGTATACCAATTCACATGTATCTGCGGGAGCAGTTACATCAACTTCTCATCTGACCTCATGTGAACCGAAATTTTGAAATTTTGATCTTCTCTTATCTAATTACGTAACTGTTACTAATTTTCTTTCGTTACCACCCCAACAACACAACTAATAATCAATTTTTTTCAAGAAACTTCTCTTTAACAAGATGTATATATGCCGTAACACTTTAGACACCCTGTAAATCTCAACGCCTTATTTTACTATGACGCTCTGACAATATACTTGCTAACAGACAAAGGTGCGTTAAAATTGTACACTTTTTATTTTTATTTTATTAAAGAATTTAGGTTGTACGCAGCTGATGAGAACCAACGAAATAAAATGGATCCAGATTATTCTGCGCGCCAATGTTTCTTCTTTCTTTGTTCAAACTAATAGACAACGATAACAGAAAACTTTAAACAAATTATGTGCTGAATGTGGCTCATTGGGTTATAAGCACTTGGCTTTTAACCAATCGGCATCCAAAGGCTAGAATTCTGCCCACCTACATCAACTTTGCGGACAACCTACGTTTAATGTCACACACTCAAAGATCTACAGGTGAAAATCAAAAATCTGCAGCAGGAACAGAGGTGAGATGGGACTCCAATCGAGCATAGAGAAGACAAAGGTGACCATCAACAGGAGAAAATCGAAGGAAGGAAGTCACCTTTCAGTTATCTAGGCTGCCTTCTTTCGACTAAATAACACACGGGTGAGGATGTCGAAGACAGTGGAGATCGAAAAAGTAAGGTAGACCTTCATTAATCTGAAACCAGTGTGGAAATCTACCGCATTCAGAAGATAGATAGCATAAGATTCGGATTTTCAACGGTAATGTCAGATTAGTCAGTGCTTGCTTCTGTATGGTTCAAAGACTTAGCACACGCTCTATCGAAGTCCAAGGATCTGCTGCGGACTTGTGTCAATAGTTGCCTTCTCTCATTACTGGAAAACAGACAGTCAATCGGCCAGAAAACATCAGCAACAAGGAATTCTATGGACGAAACAACCAAGTACTTATTGCCCATAAAAATGGAGAGGGAAGAGACTGTTGATATAAGTGTAAAATTTGGGCACTGTAGTGGTGGAGTATAACTCCATTATGGATAAGAGTTTATTTTGATAAATCATACAGTGTTATTTATACAGTAATATTAACCGATGACCACACGTTTCGAACACAAACTATTGCCGCTCATAATCATATCAAGTGGACTACTCACAAAACTTCTTTCTTTCATTTATATACATGTGTGGAACCGATTAGATATTGGATTAAAAATCAATATGAGATAATGTACATTCAGAGATAATAATAATAACAATAATACGAGTGTTACTGATCAATTACAATCAGATGGGAAATAAGACGAGTGTTTTTATAGTCAAAATAAGCAGCTTGTTAGAATGTTGTGATGTGCTTGAATTGAAATAGAATACAATTTAAGATTATTCATTATTCTCCTCTGACTTGACTGACTGGCGGTAATAATATCTTCCATATCTCTGGTACTGGCATTGAGTCGTTTCTGTTGCATGTGTTGGGTGTAGACTCGATGAATAGGGATCCCGTAATCAACCTCTCTCTCCATCTAAATATGTTACTTTTTAGAATTTTAACTCTATCCCACCCTGTTGTGTGGTTGTTTGTTATTGCGTGAAGTGCGATTGCTGAACTTTTTTCTAAATTATTTATCTTTTAGGGTCAACCATTCTTCCCTTAGCTAAATTCTTCTGTTCTGATAATCTGACTACCCCGATCTACTAGTGTGACCTATGTAGTTGACCTCACTCACTATCATTGCAGGGTATTTTTAAATTATATTATTTTGTTTAATTTGGTCAACCGCGTCTTTTAGTCTACAGAGCTTGTCCTACCTGAGTGAGTTTGTTGGTTTGAATGTCACCCTAATATCTGCTTTATTGAGAATCCTACGTAGGGTTTCAGATGTCTCTTCCTTATACGGTAAAGCTGCTATAGATGCCTTACATTCTCTCTTATTCATGTTATCATTACTAGTTTCAGCACTATTTTTATTTTGCTTTTAACCTTTTCTGATCTTCCTAATGAATTTTTTAGGATAGTTATTTAACACCAAGGCCTCTTCTATCTGTTTTACTTCATCATTTAGGTTTTTTCTTGTGCTACTTAGTGCTATTGCTCGTTTCGCTAAACAGACACTTAACTCAGCCTGCCTTAACAGTTAACGGATGGGATGAATTAAAGTCTAAATATCTATTAGCAGAATCCGTTGGCTTTTTATACACGCTAGTGTGTAGTTTACCTTCTTCTATTCGTTTTATTTTACAGCCTAACATCATAGATAATCCTCCTTGTTCATTTTCCGATTCAAATGTGAATTTTATTCCCTCTACTAGTGAGTTTATTTGTGTGAAGAAGCTAGAAATATGTTCTGTGTTTAACACTGTGAAAGTGTCATCTACATATCTCCACCATATTTTTGAAGTAGGATTAAATGTATTAAGAACAATATTTTCCCAGCTGTCCATAAATATGTCTGCTACGATTAGGGATATTGGTGATCCATCCCATTGCTACACCTTAGATAAACTTATTAAGACTTTAAAAACACCCGTCTTATTTCCCATCTGATTGTAATTGATCAGTAACACTCGTATTATTATTATTTCTGAATGTACATTATCTCATATTGATTTTTATTTCTAATATCTAATCAATTCCACACATGTATATAAATGAAAGAAAGTTTTGTGAGTAGTCACTTGATATGATTATGAGGGGCAATAGTTTGTGCTCGAATCGTGTGGTCATCAGTTAATATTACTGTATAACAATACTGTGTGACACTTTAACAAAATAAACTCTTATCCATAATGGAGTTATTCTCTAACTGATATCTCAATCCATGGTGAAACTCTTGAAAACTCTGTTTCAGGCGAGTGAATTCAAACAAAAATAACAAACAAACTGAAAAAAATTTGACAATTTTATTGTGTGTTCGTGTGTGTTTATTGTTGTTGTTTTTTTCGAACACTTACCTGGTATATCAATATCGAATAAGTGAAGTTTACGATAGAGACCGACTAATTCACCATTGGAGTTGTATGTTGCACTACAGTTGTAGAATTTACCATCACAACCACGCTCTGGTATAGATCCACCAACAAGCCATATTTTATGTTGTCTATTAAAGTAAAAACAAGATGAATGTGTATTATATACAAAAAGTCTAATGGACCCACACACACAAAAAACTTGGAGAATCTGAACTACACCGATGACATGTATATGTCTCATTTCCAACAAACTGGAAGATATGCATGTGAAAAGCAACAAGTTGTTGAAACAATAAGCCTTTACTTCAGGTGAACATAGAGAAAACACAGGTAGGTGATGAAGATTCCTGGAAAACAGCAATAGGTATCTTAACAACAATAATCAGAATAAATGGGAGAAGTCTGAAAGAAACAACCTCTTTTACCTACCCACCGTTTCAACTACAAGTGGACGGAACTGATGAGGATATCAAAGCAAGACAAGCTTTTATTACTCTCAAGTCTGTGTGGAGGTCAACAGCACTCAGCATGAAAATGAAAATAAGATCCGGATTTTCAACTCCAATATGAAGTCAGTCAGTGTTACTATACAGATCAGAGACTTGGTGAGTCATAAAGAGCATCTCAGACAAACTACAAACCTTCATTAACGGTTGTTTTCGCTCAATACTCAAGATTAGATGGCCAGAAAAGATCAGCAACAGGGATCTCTGCCAATGAGCGAACCAACCTAGCAGGAACCGATCGTGAAACAAAAAGGCAGGAAGAAATGGAGATGGATTGGCTAGCCATACTCTGAGGAAACCATAAAGTGACATCACTAGACAAGCCATTGCTCGAGTGGAATCCGAAAGGGAAGCGGCGAGTTGGTCGTCAGTGCAAGGGTGACTTGGAGGAGGTCATGTGAAAAGAAGATGAAAGCATATGGGGAGACTTGGAGCCAGGTGAAAGCGTTGGCAGAGAACCGAACGTAATGAAGACGCGCAGCTGGAGCCCTATGTTCCTCTAGGAATTAGAAGAAATAATAATAATGCAAAAAGTCTATTTAGTATGCCAGGCCGCTACCGCCTTCCACATCAAGTAACGCTAACGGGCATAGGATTGGGTTAGAAATAAGTGTTACAAGTGTGGTAAAAATGTTTTTAAGAAAAGCATCAGAGTCTATGAATTCTTTGACAGCTTGGTTTCAACCATCCACTTGCGGAGGTGTAACCGGCATGGTTGTGGTCGTCGAGATGCTAAGAACCAATGGCTTGAGACTATCGGTGATGTGTTATTAATATTATTGTTATAATTTAAACACAAAAAACTTAGTACAATATGGCATCAAGAAAGATGCGCCACACAATATTAATAAAACAACATAGATTAAAAGTAAAAATATAGGTGGAGAACGGATAAAGAACTTCATCTGGTAGGAAAACAGTTATATTTAACAATTTCAAACAGTATTCATAAATTATCGTCGGAAAGACAAGAAAGAAGGAAACTACAACACGTTCACCATTGATTGCGATTGCTGGCCATATCTGACAAAGGTTTCCACCTATCTCTCGGACCAGGGGGTCGTGACGCACCAACCGATGACGCCAACCTAACACAAATATCCTTCATCCGACGACGCCACGTCATGGACTGACTGCCTCTCCGTTTTCTCCATTCCGTCCCAGGGATAGCGAACAGAGACCTGTATGGAAGCCTTTGGGATGACATTTGCTACACATGTCAAAGCCACTGAAGCCGGTGTTTCCAGATGTCAACACTCAACGAATGATCTCCACTGTGTCGAAAAACGCCACCAAACCTGAGAATTACTCACGCGATGATGTCGTCGGATGCACGCAATCCTCCAGAGACCGTGATGATCGAATACGCAGAGTGGCAGCACATCTTCAGCTCGGAAAGGCAGAGAAGCAGCGTCAGGGGCTGCGTTCCCATGGTTGCCGGTGACTAATACAGGTTCATATGTCGTTTGATCCGATTGGTATCTGGAACCCATGTACCTCATAGTAACTTCTTTTAGTCTAACTGCTATCCAAACAACCTTTCTGGCATGATAGGACATGCAGGGACAAGAGTCCCAGCCAGATCAGCTTGTGTTGGTCACTGCGGTATTCAAGCCCGACCACCACGATAAGGTAGCAGTTTTCGGTTGGTAATATGGATCAAAATGTCGATAGGCACTTGACTTCGTGCAATAAATTTGCTAGAGGGATTTTGTCTGATTTAAAGCATCCACTTTACCTTCAGCTTTCACCTTGGATCTCCTCAGGTAGAACAAGAAATAACTTCAGAAAACTGTATGCTCGCATGTCTAAGTATAAGGATTCTATGATACCATACTTGGCATGTATTTTATGTGATGAAAATAGCGTCAGGCAAGAATTAACTAACCTTTTTTCATCTAGTAAATAAACAATCTCCTCCATCCATCCATCCTTATATACCTTGAAGTTTTACTTTTTAATATTTCTATTATATTGATGGTCCTGTTGCTTCTTTGTTTGTTTTACTTTCATAATTACAAACACCAACTTATCTCTATGACTGCTGTAATCTTTGTTTTTCCCCTCACCATATCATATAAGTAGAATATCGTATGCCGTATTTTTAAACATTCTAGGATCTCTATACCACATTGCCAATACTGTGTGAAACAGGCCCACGGCAATTTTCACTTGTATTCTTATTATTATTACCTTAGCTGTTATCATTATTATTTCCATTTCATATGCTGCATATTTTTGACATTACGCCTATTGTAAATGTGGGAAATTTTCTGTGTGATTAATTTTTGCTTATCATTTGAGGAAACTAGATGCAATATTGTGATTAATACTTAAAATTCCATTCTATATCACAAGTACTGTTTTTGGAATAAAGTAAATCATTATTATTATTTTCTAAATTCACAAGCTGCAATAAGACACTTAACACGTAAAGGCTGGCTACACTATCAATAAATATCACACAATTAATAGAGATACGTGTTATGTTATGAATTATGACCTAGATGAAGAACAGATCTAGTATCACGCACAATTATAGTGTCCTCTTGAAGGAAAGCCTGAAGTGGTATAATAAAACTAGTCACCTACACAAAATAAGCGGGGAGGTGGTATGTTAGCGCTTTTTAGGAGGCGATCGAATGCCTTTTATAAAATTGTTACTGATATAAGATTTGTTTGTTCACTTTAGTATATGACTGACTAAATTTTTAATGTAGAACTTTGCAAAACAGTGTATCACAGTTCATAAAATCAAAACGGGAGTGTATGCGTGTACAAGTATGATTACATGGAAAATAATTACAACTTAATGAATCTGAAAGTTCACAAAATGTGAATGCAACTACATCATTGAGAACTATTATGAGTTGTGGAGCGAACAGTTCACAGTCATTATTTCTTCACTTCACTTATCTAGGAAACATTATCTCAACTACAGGTGGAACGGATGAAGATTTCAGAGACAGAATCAAAAGGCAAGATACGCACGCCATCATCAACCTGAAAACAATTTGGAAATCTTCTACACCAACTCAACACAAAGAACAAGATCCGGATTTCCAACACCAATGTCAAGTCAGTCAGTTCTCATATATGGGTCAGAAACTTGCACTACGTGTCACAAAAAGGATTTACAACAGGTTCCAGACCTTTATCAACAGCTGCCCCCACCGCTGACTCCATACTGAAGATCAAATGGCCGGCCAGAAAGAATAAGTAACAAGAAACTCTGGCCTGAAACAAACCAACCAAGAGCCGATCACTCAACAAATATGTGGGAGAAAATGGAGATGGGTGGATTGGGCATACATTGAGAAGACCGTCGAATAACATCGCGCGCCAGTCAGGCCATCACTCTAGCGGGCTCCAGACGGTAAGCGACGAGTGGGTCGTCACTTTGAGGGTGACATGGAAGAGATCATGTGAAGTGGAGATGAGAGATTGTAGGCAATCGTGGTCCAACCTGAAGAGGACGGCAGAAGATAGAACAAAGTGGCGATGTACTGGTGAAGCCCTAGGGGTACCCAAGGGAATAATAATATAACATACGAGACTATGTTACAGTTCGGAAGTATTAGTCATAGTAATAAGAAATAAACCACACACCAGTGAATTCTAACTACAAAATAAGTAACACAATGATTTATTGAAAAATTAAAGCTTTACCTTTAGCACAACAATAAAATACGCTTAAACTTACTTAGCTATATCTGATAATAATTTACACGTGGGACCATTTGGTACATCTTCTGCATACGACTCCAAATATTTTGCACCGATTGGTGAATTAAAAAATTCTGGAAGACATACAAGTTGAGGTGAGTGTTCAGTTACAGCTCGACTGATTAAATCAGTGGCACGTTTCAAGTTGGCAGCTTTATCTGCACCGACAAGCATTTGGATTAGTGCTAATCGTAACATGATAATATTGCTTCTTTTTTTTTCTATTGAAGGATATTGAAATCTGAAATGGTATATCAACAAAAAGTTTAGTTAAATCTAAGAAAAAGCAGTTAGTGTTTTGGGTTTTTTTTAATATGAGTGCTCGTACTCAGGAAAACCAAGATGCGATAACGAGAATACTCTATGTGTTGACGATTTAAAATAATCCAATACATTAATACAGTATATGTCTTTGAGTAATAATTTTTCCCCAATTGAGTTTGAGGTGAAAGTAGGACTAATGAACTTAAGCATTTTACAAGATTTCATCATGAGCTGACATTAGTTAGAGAACCATTGAAAAACCAGGACTGGAGTACTGAACAGCTGTTTCGTCAGTCTAGTTTGGGACTCTTTCTCAGTACGCACCCACCGAGATTCGTACCCAGGACCTTCAAGTTACAAGGCGAGCTCGTAGACCATTCATCAGCCACTGGGGGCCAATCCAATGGCCCATGAATTCTAACTTCTGCCAATTCACGACATAGTGCGACCCTTAGCCAATGTGGGGTGTGAGAACAAATACTCGCCGAAGACATTGGCTAGGGGTCGCGCTATGTTCCAATGGTTCTCTAACTAATGTCAGCTCATGATGAAATCCTGTAACTAATCAAATCCCTGCAAACCAACACTTGAATATTAAGCATTTTAATTTTACACGGTATTCCTGGTTCGAGACCCACTCCATCTGTGTAACAGCATAATGCAAGACACGGAAGCCAAGGCATATTTTTCACTGATCAAACCGCTGTTTATATATTTGTACAGTTTATATTCGTTAACCAACAAGTGAGCGTGTGATTTTGGTTTACATTAAACAGCATGAAATAGAATGTTCAAATAAATATATATGTAGTATTCTGTTGCTAATACCTTACTGAATTGTAGGAATATATGAGTGTCATATTCCGTTGGAATACATTATATCACACCACCACACATCTACTTGGATCTGATTGGTTGGATTACTTATCATGTTGAACCTAATAAATTAATATCATCAGGGCCTCAGCAGTACGCCTTCAGTGTACTATGTTATCTGCAATCACTTTTCAATTGGCTCCACAACTGTCGACTAGTCTTCTTTTCCTTCTTCACACGATGTCATTCATGTCACCGTCAGATTCATGCCCAACTCGTTACTTTGCATTTAGGGTCCACTCAAAGCCATGGTGTGTGATGTCACTCAGAGGCACCTTCAGCATATGCCCTATATATTGGCATTTTCTTTAGTATATTTGTTGAGCAACAATTTCTTAGCCGGTTTGCTCACGATATTTTTTTCAAGAGTCTCATTACAATTCACTATGACTCTTCACTATTCATTACTCACCTATACTTCAAAGGTAAAGAAGGTATCATGTATATTCATGTTATGATCTCATCAACAATTAATATGACTGAGTAGCTTTATACGTAGATATAATAATACTGACGTAATGGGCAACTCTTGGAAACTACTCGAGTACTACGGCGCACCCCAAACATTCATCAACCTTATTATTCAACAGCTGTACGACAACGGCACATGTCAACTGATCAACAACGGAAAACTCAGCCAGGTGTTTGGAGTTAACACAGGAGTCAGACAAGGGTGCTGCTTATTATCACCCACAATGATATTCCTAATTATGGTGGACTGTATTATGTGTCAGATAGTGGGAAACGAGAAAACAGGGATATCCTGGACCGACTGACGCGAAGAACCTAGAAGACCTGGATTTCGCGCGTGGATGATCTATGTTTGATGTCACATAAAATCGAAGACTTACAAGCGAAAACCGACCGACAAACTGGTCGAAGAAGCAGCCGGCGAAGACAGGACTCCAGGTGAACACAGACAAGACGGAGGTTATGAAAAATAACCAACCAACAACGATAACAACAGCAACATCCAGTGCCAATCACCATCAACGGCAGGGATTTGAAAGAGGTTACTTCATTCATTCACTTATCTAGGGAGAATTGTCTCAACTACAGGAAGTCGGAACGGACGAGGATGTCAAATCGAGAATCGAGAAGGCGAGAAACATATTGACCAACTTGAAACCAATCTGGAAGTATTCGTCACTCAACTCAGCATCAACAACAAAATTCAGTCGGATTTTCAATACAAACGTCAAGTCAGCTGTTCTATACGGGAAGCGGCGAGTGGGACGTAAGTGCAAGGGTGACATGGAGGAGATCGTGTGAAGAGGAGGAGCTGAAACAGTATGCAGTAACATGGATGCAGGTGAAAAATACAGCAGAAGACAGAAGCAAATGGAGACGTGTAGTTGAAACCCTATGTTCAACTAGGAACCCGAGTGAACAATAATATATAATAATAATGGGCAACTCAACTGTTGTTCTAGATACGGTTATTCATTCCTCATTACCTGTGACTGCTAGGGTAAAACTCTATGTGCGAAAAAGTGCATTCCTAACCACATTAGAATTTGGCTAGGGTAGTGGAGAATACATTGTTCTGATTGGTTGATGATGGTTGACCTAGAGCCAAGGTTAAAAAAGATGATTAAATTTTATAGTCATTCGATTACAAGATGATTACTATTTTTTAGCTGATTCCGATTCAATTTGTATTATAGTTTTAAACTCTAGGGAAAGGAAACAAGCCTGAAAGGCAGCTTAACAGTGATACTTATCAACCCACATAACTATTTAGGCATAGTGTTTTGTTTCTATTCAGATAGATAGCACATTCGATCGGATCAATTTGGAAATAACTAAGCATTAAGATTCTCTTGAGTGCGTGATTTTTTTCTTAATAAAAAGGCGCTAAAAGGAACAATTTCTAAATGAATCGAATCGTATGACTACAAGTGACGACAATACTATTTATACACATAATTGATCATTTTATAGTGATTTTCACGGTAAAAAAACACTGTTTTTTAAGATTAATCTTTCGTGTAGAATTAACAAGACGAACTGATGGAACCTTATGAAGATCGATACATAGAAAAGCTACTTGGAATGATCAACTAACAAGCTTCTAGAGCTGGATACCCATTCAACAAGAGCGGAATTTAATTAAATCCCTTGCAACCCGCATATGTAGTCCCAATGTTCTAGAAACAGGATTCGATCTTTTGAAAGAAATCTTCATCCAAAATGGATACCCCCACCAAGATTCATCCATTAAAATATCAAACCAAGTATTTGGAGAAATGAAACTTCACACTTGCGCCGAAAATCTACTCCCTTGGATTTCAAGAGAGATTCAACAAGCAATATTCTCAAGAGGAGGATCGTATCATCTCTGAGAAGAAAATTCTTTGCAGTAACGCTAAGAATGTTCTCCAGTCGCCCGCTGATCTGCAGAAGCCTTAAGGACATGATCCTGCAACTGACCACTGTTATATGCATATATCAGTTCACCTGTTGCTGTACATCGGTAGTGCGACGCGAATCCTGTCCAAGAGGATTCAAGAACACTTTCCAGTATGGTCACGAAAAGGCAATAGTGGTGAACACCTGGTTAACACTGTTCGTTCCATCTTAAGAAACGCCTCCTTCAAGGTAATCTACAGAGTCAAGAATAACCCTCCAACGACAATACGGTTTCGTCTTCTTTGTATCGCTGAAGCTCTGTCCATTCACACAAAAAACGGAGCTGTGCATACAGATGAGAATTACTCAACCGACCGAAAGCTGCTACCTTGACGTGGTGGTCGGGCTTGAACACCGCAATGACCTAATCAAGCTATACTGGCTGAGACTTATGTCTCTTGAGGTTCTACCATGCCAGGCAGGTTGTTTGGATAGCGGTTAAACAAAAAGCAGCTACCCAATCCAACATCATGTCCAATACAAAATTACAAAATTTCATGCCGGATCGGCCGTGGCCCGGATTAACAACGACCGCGCTTCCTGCTGCCGTGTCACAGGGCGGGAGTGATAAATATGCTACTGAGACACACCAAACAAAAAAGAACAAACAAAAACAGGCCGCGTGTGACCGGCCTCAAGCAGTTGTCCCCTGGGCTCTGCGGTCACGCAACCAACTTCCACGGTGTGGGCAGCCGGGAAGTAACAATCGCCCTCACAATCCGAAATGCACACGAAACCTCTCTATTACTCACTCATCTTTGTCTTCATCTTCATCTCTATCATCTTGCCTTCCTTCCACTGATGCAACTCCTCGACTTGATAGCTCTCCACTTCCTCTCCACTCTGCGTCCACTAAAAACGATGGAAGCCAAAAAACCACCACCGACAGCCTCTTAAAGCCGCGCCACCAATTTCATATAGGAGCTCTTAATGTTAGGACACTTTGCCAAATAGGACAACAAGCATCACTAGCCAAGACCCTGGCATCACGAGCCATTGATGTATGCTGTGTTTCAGAAACACGCATACAAGACCCAAGTGTGGTTATTCACCTAACCCCACCTGGCCAACAGGTTGAATCTGCAAAATTCACCTTGAGGGTGTCAGGAGATGCCACAGCTAGTTCACGAGGATTAGCTGGCGTAGGGATAGCTTTGAGTACTAGGGCAGAAAAGACATTGCTTGACTGGATCCCGGTAGATAGCCGAATGTGTGCTGTCCGCCTGAACGGATCAGTAAGAAGGAGGAAGGACTGCACTACTCGCCGATGCCTTTTCGTAATCTCCGCCTACGCCCCCACTGACTGCAGTTCAGATGAAACGAAGGATGAGTTCTACCAAAAGCTGTCTAGTTTGGTGAGAAAGGCTAAACGCTCAGACATAGTCGTTCTAGCTGGTGACTTTAACGCTCAAGTAGGGAAATTGTGTCAATCTGAGAAGGATGTCGGTGGCACCTATGGAGTTCCGTGCCAGCGAACCGACAACGGTGACCGTCTCCTACAGTTCTGCTCTGATAATCATTTGTTTCTTGTAAGCACTAACTTCAAACACAAGGAGAGACACTGTTTGACTTGGAGACCCCCTTCATCAAACCAACGCTGGACACAAATAGACCACATAGCAATAAGCTATCGTTGGCGTGGGTCGGTAGGAGATTGTCGCTCCTTCTGGAACACGTGCGTAGATACCG